GAGCTTGAGGTGCACGACTGCTTCATGCCCATCCGGATGTGCCCATTCAGGAGATCTTTTGGTAGGGAGCCATTCCCATTGGGGACTTTGGCCTCGTTCAAGTGGTTCTCAAGTAACACTTCGTCCTCCTTCTCGTTCTCCCTGAGGAAAGCGGACAAGCGGTTGAATTTGGATTTCATGAGTTCTTGGCTGGTGCTGCGTGGCGTCGCCGGGGAGGACGAATCCTGGAAAATGGAAGGCTCGATCTCGTGAAGGAAAAGCAGCTCTGATTCCATATCGAGGGTGGCGTCCGGCATGTGCAGGACCGAATCGCTCTTACTCCTGACAATGTCCACCTCCAGGAACTCCAGGTTGAGGTCTTGTTCAGACTGGACCTCGTCTGGGAAGAGGGAGTTCCCGTAAGGCTCCTCCTCGTTGATGACGTTGAGCCGGTTGAAGGGAGGGAGACTGCCACTCATCTTGACGCTCGAGAGGGTCTCCGCTTCATCGTCGATCCGGTCCTGCTGAGGGTTGTATTGCTCTTCTTCGATGCTGCATAGGTGGAGGACAACGGAAACTGAGAAGATAATGGCGGCAAAGAAGAAGAGGACTTGCTCCTGGGATTTGAAGAGGCTGCCTAAGATGGTCTGCATCCAGTTGAGGCCGCCCAGCATGTAGCCAATGGCTCCTCCCAGGCCTACGGACAAAGAGAAGATCAAAGGTACAAAATGGCCGCTCTGTTGAAAGATGGGAAGAACCGCACAGGTGGGAAACAAGCTCCTCCCTCAAAGAGTTGCGGATTGTGAGGGGAAAAGAAGAAGAAAGTTCACTGAGGAACGTCAATGGATTTTCACCTGGACTTTCCTTGTGTCCAGAGTTTTGGATCTGAACATTGTAAGCTTTACCGTATTTTTCGCACTATAAGATGCACTCCACCCCCCCCCAACAAAAGTGGGTGGAAATGTCTGTGCATCTTATAAAGCGAATGTTGCCAAAGCCCCGCCCACCCACTGGCCCACTGGGCAATTTGCCTCCTTGCAGCAAACAGCCTGGTCAGCTTCAACACAGCCTGATTTAGCACAAGCAGCTGATGGGCGGTTGGATGGCCACCCGGAATACCGCCGATCAGCTGTTCTAGGCTGCGGGGATCAACAACACCCATCGGTGCCGCCTATCGCTGCCTCTCCGCGCCCGATTTTTGGCTTCTGCGCATCCCATTTTCGGCCTCCATGCGCCCCTTTTTCGGACTCAGTGCATCCCGTTTTCGGCCCATTCCAGGCGGCGGTGATCCAGGCCGAAAAAGGGACGTGTGGAGGCCAAAAACGGGTGGTGGCGCGGAGTTGGCGATAGGCGGCGGTGATAGGTGGCGGCGATCCCCGCAATCTGGAACAGCAGTATTCCAGGAGGCGGATCCAGCCGCCAATCAGCTGCTCGTGCTAAAATCAGGGTGCGCTGAAGCTGACCAGGTTGAGGTAAATTGCTGGGAAGCTGAGGCAAAAATATTTTTTCTTGTTTTCCTCCCTAAATGCTAGGTGCATCTTTTACTTCGGAGCGTCTTATACTCCAAAAAATACAGTAATAAAGGAGAATATTTGTAGCTCAGAGTGGAAACCAGGGGTCCTTGGTGCTCTCTGAGCTTGGTTGTTTTCTTGCAGGCATTTCATGACCCAACTAGGTAACATTATCAGTGCTAGGAGGGAGCGGGGTTTGTGGAGCGGAGGACTGTGAGCTCCTTGGTGCTCTCTGAGCTTGGTTGTTTCCTTGCAGACGTTCTGCTACCAGACTAGGTAATATCATCAGCAGGCCAGTGCTCAGAGAATGCCAAGAATCCCCTACCGTGAGCATAACCAGGTAAATACCACCCTTCTCCCAATTAGGTGATGCTCAGAGAAGCTATGACTACTACCACTTCATCCAGGAGGCCCAACCAGCATTGAATTCGTAGTTCCTCTACTTGGGAAAAGCTGCAATGGGTAATTCATGCTATGGTCCATGGTTTAGTCCAGGGGTCTTGAAATCTGGACTTTCAGCTCCCAGAATTCCCCAGCTAGCTGTAGTGACTGAGGAATTCTGGGAGTTGAAAGTCCACAAGTCTTAAAGTTGCCAAGTTGGAGACCCCTGCCCTGATTGAAGCATCTTTTGGGTGGGGGGGGGTACACACAACAGCGATGCTTGTATAATTTGGAGTCACGTGCAGATGAAGGCTGGGAAGAAAAAGAAAATTCAAGATGGCTGGCTGAGGAATGCTGGGAGTTGAAGTCCACAAGCCTTAAAGTTGCCGAGTTTGGAGACCCCTGGTTTTACTTCCCTGATTTCTGGCAACGACCAGAAGGTCTTTCTTCTAACCCTCTCATAGCCGTAACCGTATTTAGTTGGGAGCAGGACAGGATCGTCACCCCAGAGCCAACTGCAAACCTGTGGGGATTTGAGCCCTGACTTGGTTGCTGTTAGGCACACATGCTTCAACTACACACCACCAATAAACATTTCTCCAGTTGCTTCAATCTCCGGCCTGTTGCCATCCAACTTCAGGTGCAAGATTAGGCTGCGGCCTCTGGGGACTTCTCCACTAGTTTTAAAGCTTTTAAAAGAGAATGCAACCGATGGAGGCAGTTTTCTTTTAAGTGTGTTTGTAAAGTGTTAGGAACTTCTTCTCTCTTGCTAAGATTCCACTTTGAAGCATAAGATTCCCAAGCGAGGAGGAGGTGATGACTACTATTACTATTATTGTTGTTGTTGACTTAATCTTCAATTCGATTCGTAGTCTGGGACTGGTAAAAACTTCACAGTTCCAGGACCTCAGTGCTGTTGAGGTAGCGTCTCAGTCAGGGGTGTCCAAACTCGGTTTCATCGAGGGCCGCATCAGGGTTGTGTCCGACCTTGAGGAAGGGGGCGTGACCGGGACGGGATGGGTGTGGCCCTCTGCTACCAAAAACGGAGCTTGTGGGGGAGCTGCAGGTGGCTGTCCCAGCCGAAAACGGTGCCTGGGAGGGCCGTGAGCAGCTCTCACCAGCTCTGTTTTCGCTGGCACAAGAACCGCAGCTTGGTTCTTCACTATTTCCCAGGGTGGCCCAAGGGCCAAATCCTGCAGGCCAGTTTGATACAACTGGTCTAAGTGATATAGGAAGTTATGAATAAGGTGGGGTATTCAGGATATTCAGGTCTAATAAATTCAAAATTTCCATGTAACCTCGGCAGCCCCAAGGGCTCCTATTGGTACAACCATTGATATCTTCCTCCGCAGTCGCCCAACTTCGTTTTTTTGTCATTTTTATTATGATTGTGGTTATTGTATGGCACTGTTACATTAACCAGGAGAACGCCACGCCATGCCATAGCAGAGCGATAGTTAGGCTACCAAGTTACCAGCTCTGTTGTAGCAAACGTCTGCGTGCTTCCCGAGGTGCGCCACAAGGGGAGGTGCTGGCTTTGCACCAGAGAGAAAGGCAAGCGGGTCTTCCGGCCGCGTCACACGGGGCTCCTTTCCCTTCTTGGAGCCACTTTGCAAATGGGTGCCGCGGCCAGGGAAGTTCAAAGGTGGCAGGAGTCTTACTGCCTAAACAGAGCACCAATTCATCTCCTCACTGAAGTGGTACCCACGTATCTACTTGCATAGAACGGGCTTTCGAACTGTTAGGTGGACAGAAGCAGAGATGAATGACAGGAACTCACCCCGCCACACTGTGCTAGACTCAAACCGCTGGAGCAGAGACCATCTCCAACGTCGTTAAGCCACTGAGCCACCGCGCCTCGTGGAGGAGGCGGTCAAAAACATGCCAAGAGAAGGATCACAATTTTATGAAGTTGGGAGGATTTATTCAAGTCCAAGCTAGAATCTCACCGCTAGGCTGCACTCAAATAAATCCTACCGCCGTCTACAAAAATCGGTGAACATCCAGACCAGAAGGAGTATTCAGCAAGTTGATCAGTTCTGGAGAAGCGGTAGTGGGAATTTTGAGTAGTTCGGAGAACCGGCAAATCCAACCTCTGACTGGCGCCGCCCCCATCTATTCTCTGCCTCTCGAGTCCCAGCTGATTGGCTGGGTCTTCTTTGGTTGCCCTGCACAGGAGAATGGAGCTGGAAAGCAGGCTAGTGGGGTGGGGAGGGAATGGGGGTTTTGCAGTAACCTTCCGCCAGGAGTGTGGGGGAGCGAATTTTACAGTGACCTTCCCCTGCTATGCCCGCCAAGCCACGCCCACAGAACCGATAATAAAAAAAATGGAACCCCAAAAATTGATCCAGAGGCTGGGTTTGGGAGCAACACCGCTGCTTAGATTAGAGAGGGATAAAACACAGTCTTCAAGAACAGCCTGGAAAGCTGGCTACAAAACAGAAAATCTCAGCAGCATGTTATTTGTGTCCTTTTTTAAAAAAATAAAATCAAATGGTATATTAAACCTTAAAAATACCCAGGCAAGGCTTGATGGATCTATTTTATGCAAGTCTTCAAATCGACAAACAGCCAGAGAACAGAAGGGACTGGTCTGTCCCCGAATGAGTTTACAAGAGATGCCTTTAAAAAATTTTAAATAAAATTTTTAAAATAAACTTCAGAAGGAAGAAAGAAAGAAAGAAAAAAAAAGAAAGAGAAAAAAAGAGAAAGAAAGAACCAGCCATGAAAAACTCCTCAAGGACTTACTTTACATGACACTTTTCCCACCTTTTATTTACCAAAAATATACTGATACATGGGGAATATTAACTATTATTTCGGTCTATTTGTTTATTAGTTAAATTGATCATTTGATTATATGGTTGACCAACTCACACAGAGTCCCGAGAGGCAGGTGGAATGCAACATTAGGGATTACATACTTACTAAAATATATTACATTAAGCATTATATTACATTATTCTTACATTAAGAAAGAAGGAAAGAAAAAAAAAGCCCAAATTTATGCCTCCTGCCTTTGGCTTGGAATGATTTCAGGGGGAACCATGTATTT